AAAAGCTCAGTTCAGACAATAAAAATGTCATACAGAGCAACACTTTTCAAGTGTTCATGTTGTTATTTTTGCTTATCATCGCTTTAAGTGAAAAAGAAAACTCATTTTAAAACTTTAAAAGGCCATAAAGAAAATTATTAGTGTTTTTTTAAATGTTATGTTATAACCAAGGGTATTGTGGGGAAGACTGTTGAGTTAATGGTTTTCAAGGGACAGTAACTGACATTTTCTAAACGCCCATTAAGGTGGCTGTCCACAGAGTGTTGTATTCATGTACTATCAAAAATTTTAGTGGAAGGTAAAAGCATCGCAGGGAAGGGAAAAAGACTCTTTTTTGAGTTTAGAGAAAATTCACAAGACCTGGATTTTAGCTGGTTATCAGCTTTAAGAAGCAACACAAACAAATATACAGAAGACATTGGCTATAATGTCATAAACTGTCACTAACTCGATTAATCAAATAAAATAACATATTGACTGTTTAAATATGTACTGGCCTCTTTTTGTGTTGGTCTAGTGAATAGAACAGTGCGCTTGTGCTCTGGGAAGGTTGCAAGTATGCGGTTCGATGCCCACAGTTGGCACTCTGGGTCCCTGAGCAAGACCCTTAACCCCACACTGCTCCCCGGGCACCGCACAATGGCAGCCCAGGGGATGAGTTAAAGGAAAATTCCGGTTTTTAACACTTTTAGCCCATTTTCTATAGTGTCCAGGATGAAATCGAATGATCGACACCAAAATTTTGACGATTGGTCCTGTCTCTGCTATTTGGCTCATGCAGAATCCCCCCCTGGCTGCTTCAGAATGGCTTCCATAGTGCATGTCCGATAATGTCCTTAAAACAACCTTAAACGTTCTTTTTTTTAAATATGCTACTCACCGGGTCGTCAGCGCTGTTCAATGACGTTCCAAAAAAAGTTTCGTGAAGAAAAACCGTTCCTGTCTTGTTTTATTTAGCATTTTGTAAATCCCAGAACTATTTTTTCCGATACATCACAACCGCTTATAAACTTCCGCTTCCCGTTCGAATCTGAAGCGTTGCACACTCCAGACCACTAGTTGGCGACGGTATCCTCTACCGTCAAACTCAAAGTCCAATATGTCCTCCTCAAGAATCCACCTTTCGTATTCCATTTTCAGAGTTTTTTAAAGTGTTTAACAGAGACGTTAGCACCTCGACGTCGGAGTACACAGAGTGAAGCAGAAACACTTGGGCCTTGCGAAAAGACTACAACTAAGCGTAAACAGGCCCCATTTCCGTTTCCGGTGGCGGAGGGATATTGACTATTCCAACAGAACTCAATGGGATTTACAAAATGCTAAATAAAACACTACAGGAACGTTTTTTCTTTATGAAACTTTTTTTGGAACGTCATTGAACAGCGCTGACGACCCGGTGAGTAGCATATTTAAAAAAAAGAACGTTTAAGGTTGTTTTAAGGACATTATCGGACATGCACTATGGAAGCCATTCTGAAGCAGCCAGGGGGGGATTCTGCATGAGCCAAATAGCAGAGACAGGACCAATTGTCAAAATTTTGTTGTCGATCATTCGATTTCATCCTGGACACTACAGAAAATGGGCTAAAAGTGTTAAAAACCGGAATTTTCCTTTAAATGCAGAGGTAATTATAAAAGTAGCACCAGCAATGGTGACAGCCTTTTGACTAGAAATACACCGATCCATTCTGATATCCGATTCCAGTATCAGATCGTTGCATCTCCAATTTGGACTGAAAACAAAAACATTCAACTGCTGCATGACAAACAAACAACGTTTTGTATTGTAATCTATGAGCTGATCACCATACGCCAAACTCTGGGCCATCGTTCTAGTTTGTAAATATGGACAGACACACACACTAGGATTCAGCTCTGTCTGCGCCTTCTCAAATAAAGTAAAGCCTCCCAAAGGGCAGTGTGTTTTGTAGTCTGTACACATGTGGCACAGAAAAGCTCTTACAGATTGTGTCAACTTATGTATGCAAACACCAGCGTTCAACAAGAATCAATGCATTTGCATCTCCGGGACCCTAAACATGCTCTTCTTTCATACAGGCCCCACTTCTGTCTCTTTCTCTTTGATGTAGTTCATACATATTGAGAAACCGAAGCCTGCAGTGGAACAATCAGCCATATTCACTAAAGCACAAACTCAATTTGTGCAACCTCTAGAAAAAAAAAATACTGCATTAGTTTGTCCCACTTATATTTCCATGGTTAATTAGCAAGAGAGAGATTGGACAATTAGTTCACTCATACTAATTGATTATAATATTACATCTTGGTGATGATGGGATCATCTCAGAGCATTTCTTCCATATTCCACTAAGGGATTTGATAATATATACAATGTTTTTGTGTAATGAGGGGCTTTAAAAGAGCAAATCAGCAAGGGAAATTGTTAATTCAACTTCGCTGAGATAATTCAGAAATGTTTTTTTTTTTTGGAGTGGGTGGGGGGGCACAAATGAACTAAATGTCTGAACATCAGCATCCTTTTAGATTATGACTCATGTCAGCACATGTAATGGGGATGTCTGGTTTATTTCTGTCACTGGTACAATAGGATCTGAACTCTCCAACAGTCGATTGTATCGAGGTTGTTTCTCTCATGCTCATTTCTAAAGAGCAATTCAGGTCATATCTGCAACAAATGTAGAGCCTTCATGGTGAGATAAACTGAATATTGCCTCATGTGTCTAAATGAATGTTTATTTTGTGTAGACTGTAAATATGCACGTTCTTAACTACAACCATTAAAAGTGTTCATTACTCTATTGTTAGTGTTGTCAGAATTATTTGGCTATGAGTATAACAGATATAATTTAAACATCTTACAGATTGTAATACAGATTCTGCAATTGATCTCATAAAATGTCCCTATTTTTTTTTTTTTTTTTTTAACACAGCAGGGATTAAAAATGACTGAATTCCTGTTGGTTTTTAGGGATTCCTCCAAGAGGCGTTGTCTTCCCTACAAAGATGTTCCAATTCTTTGTAAACATGTAACCATAAAACTGCTCCAAAAGGCTGTTAAGCCATATGAACGTTTGATTTAAAATTAAATTCCTTTTTTATATCCCTCATGATTTCTGCTTCCCAAGAATTAAAAAGTTGTGAGAAAAACAAATAAAAGTTCAATAGGGCTTCACCCTGCCCTCAGTTCTTGGTGTAATAATATCCTGTCCTTCTTTCCTTAGTTGTCAGATGTCTTGTGAGAAACTCGGGTGTGGACCTGTAACCCTTGTACAGCTCTTACTCCATTTGCAGTGTGATTATGTGCAAAGAAAAAAATTTAAGAAAAAAAGAGATCTGGTGGAATGTGCTCCTGTAGTAACCTAACAAAATAAATTTGAAATGTACCGGCTCAAACTTCCCCCTGGAAAAAGAGGAAGACATTGATTCAAATCATTAGTTTTAGCTGAAGAATTCAGCTTTTCTTGTCTCGTGGTTCAAGTGTTAATTATGTATATTCATAAATAACACCCATGTTCTCTTCAATATTTAATGCTCAGTATTTCTTTTTTTTAAAACTGAGTTGTACCTCCTATTTTTTAATCTTTACCATAAAAAGCCATTTTATAAAATATAACCCATCTCACCTGAACATATGCAGCAAATAAAAAAATAGGATTCATAAGTGTGCAATGTTGAAGTATCATACTTCTTTACTGCGCTTAATAATTAATAGCCCATCCCATCGTTCTATGAATATTTACATGTTAAGTGTCCCTGGGAGCCATCCATATGCCAGAGGGAGGAAAGCATGTGTGTTTACAGCATTAAACACTCAAATATCCTCTCCACACCCAATTCGCCTGCAACCATGAAAAAACACTCACTAAAGCATGGAAAGCATTTTATTTATTGTTACAAAATGTAACCCATTCAACTTTATCGAGATGTGGCAAGGCAAATTATATCCCTCTTTTTTGTGCTGAGGTGAAATCCCTGGACGCACCTTGTCTGGTTTGAACATGAAAGGGATCAAAAATGATCCCCCCCCCCTCTCCGCGCCCAATGACATTGTTCATTGAGATCACCTTCCAGTTACTGTGTCAAAATGTCAAAGGTCTTGCTGTCATAGTTTGGTGAAATCAAGGTGAAGAAATTACACACTATATTAGATTATGCCGTAAGACTACAAGGAGAAAAAAAGGGAATTCAAGCTGCTCTGGGAAGCTGATGTAGATTTAAGTAGGAGGAAAACAAGTAGGAGGGACACACATCAGGAATGTCGTGAAATATTACAAAATCCCTGTCCGCTTTTAAAGCTAATAATGGCTAAGTGGGATACATAATACAAACAAATAACACCGTTCCTGGTGATCCTGGGCATGTCGGGCTCTGTTGCTTTCATTGGTGATATTTATCTAGGAAAGCAAGGCTGAGTGTTTTTGTTACTGCCTCCCTGCAGGTCTCCCGAGTTCTCAGATCTCTTCTGGCGTCTCCTGTGTGGATAAGTGCTGGCTGCAGAGGCATCGTCGTGCTTTGATATTTCACTCTTAATTTGAATCAGTGGTCGCTTTATTTGACAATGCCAGGTAATTACCAAGGTAGACTCTCTTGGACGTGTGAACTCCTGCAGAACCAGAAATCAGGGAGTGAATGAAGAGGTTTAGGAGGGAGGGAGAGGGAAGGCATCCGGGTATCAGATAGGACACGGATAACATAAACAGGAAGAGAAAAACAGGGGTACAAAAACAAACAAAACCTATATGCATTTGTTTACCTGCAATGTTTTCTGCAGGTAGCAACAGAAAGAGGGTTTGCTTTGTAAGCCCAAGTGATTGCAGAGTTCAATGGCATTTTTTTTTTCTATCATGCTTTGAAACAGCAGAGGTGAGGTGACATAGGGAAATAAAATCCACAATAATAGGTTTTGTCTTCTGGGTTGGGTGTTTTTGATTAAGGTGCAATGTGTGTGGGGGGTGGGTTGGTGGGGCCAACTTTTACTCATGAGACTGTGTGTAGAAATAAATAGAGGGACTCAAAACTCAACTTTCTAGGACTTTAATGAGGAAGCAATAAAGGGAACACATCCAAAAACTAAAACCTATTAAAATAAAACAGGGTAGTTGAAGGTGGAAAAATACATTTATCTGCATTTACAAATAATAACTGCTGTTACCCTCTTCAGAGTTTGAAAATGGCCGGATGTGCAGCCTTATCAATGATGTTTATTGAACAGGAGAGCAGTGTTTACTCCCCTGTGTGACCTGAATATCAAAACGTCGCTCCACGCCAATGCAGCTGCGTTCAAGCTGACTTCCCCGCGATGTCCTTGGAGGAAACCAGCCGACAATTGAGGCATGCAGGGACCTGCAGCTAAAAAAAATACAAAAATAATAATAATACAAAAAAAAAAAACAACAACAAAAAAAAGGAAAGAGATGCTAAAAAAAAAAACTCCTGAAATATATGCACACAAAATACTACCATAAAACAAATAACAATAGTAAAGTGACAACAATAATAATCATATAAAGTCCCACAAGACAAAATAAATATATATTCTGCCAGAAGTAATTTGTGTAAATTTAGTCCACATTTAATTAGTTTTAAATAGCGCAGCATTAATGTGCGCAAATCTTTTTTTTTCTGCGCATTGTTTTAGAAATATGAAATTTCTAATTACCTATATTCTTAATTTCATTCCTCAATCGTTCTAAGAGCACAAAGACTTTAATATTTCCAAAAATAGTGGCTAAACAACAGAGCGTTTCCTAAATTCGTCTCAAAGAGGAGGCAGATATTGAGAAGGAATTTAATGAGGGGCTTAAAGCGCGCTGCGCCTAAAGATATATTTCCTCTGATCAGCGAAGGAGGGCGATTTTATTGGACATGTTTCTGTTTCCAAATCCGCATAACAGTCAACGATGCGTGCATTTCTTATAATGTAGATAAGGGAGAGAGAGGGGGTTTGATATGTAATAAAAGGTGGTCCTGTGCTGCGTGTTTAAGCCCCTTAAGCCTGATAAATGATGAGCGACAGTGGCACAGCAAGAGGGTCAGCGCTATTAACTCCTCAGTTTCCCGGCCTCCACTTAAACTTCTCTCAATTACAGCTGGTAATATTTGGCCACCTGTAAATATATTTCTAAAACCCTTACTTTTTTCACTCTAACTATAAAAATATTAAACATAAGAAAAAGAAATCAGAGTCGTTTCTGAAGCCTGCCCTCCTAAAGTAGAGTTAAAAGGAAACACAAGGATTAGGTGGCGTCCCTAACACATGCTCGCCAGGTATTCTGGGACAAACAGCCAATGCAAGCTCATTAAATCAGCATTTGGTGGATCTGAGCAGGCGTTAACGACGGGCTCTAATCTCGGTGGTGACCTGCTCGAACTGAGCCACAGCCGGATAGAGCTGCAAGGCTCTGCAAGGCTGCTCAGCAGAAAAACTTAGATATACAAACATAAAACGGCCTGTGTTTTTTAAATATGAAAAATATTTTGTTTTTTTCACTTTTCGGCTTTATTACTTTAAATAGTAATTATTATTGTTATTGTTGTTGTTCTTATTATTATAAAAAATAACACTCACCTTGAAATAAAGCTTAAAATCATAAAGCTATCAAACAACCTTTTTAGAATGACTATGTTTTCCATGCAGTCAATAACATTATTGAAAACATTTTTACTTAGCTTTCAATCATAAAAAAACTTGCAAATTAATCCTAAAATAAGTCTTAAGAATTTATACGAATCATTAAGATGGAAAGGTTTGTTTAACAATGCATCTTCTGACTGATAAAATATTTTATTTTATTTTTCTCAAAACACAAACTCTTTAGTAAGAAATAAACAGAATTTACAGAAAATAAAAGGAAGAACGTGAAAAAAAATTAACACCCATCAACATAGAATTACTGTGGTATAATTTCCACTGTAATTTATTTTCTACAGTTTACCAAAAGGTAAATGACAAATAATTATTTTTTGATATAATTTCGCACAAAAGTTGTTTTTTCTTAAAAACAAATAACTAATAAAAAAAAAAACAAAAAAAAAAAACCTTTAAAAACAAACAAACAAAAACTTCTCATGTAATTGTTACAGTCGGAGTTTATTCTTTTGGGCCTTCATTCGGTTGCCTTTTCTGCATTATTTGCAGCCGCCAGGTGTCGCTAGAGCGCTGCATATTTCTCTTTCTTCTTGAAGAGTTGGGGGGGCAGAAAAGCTACAGTAACATTTAATGTTGGCCTCCCTTCGCTTTCTCTACCCTCTCCTTCTCCTCCTCCCTTTGCAGACCCTCTGACACCAGAGCCTGAGAAGCGGTGGAGGGGAAAATGAGGCTTTGGAACCAAAGAATTTACAGTTATACGCGAAACTTTTACAAGTATTTGAGCTGCACGGCCTCCTTTTTTGTCGGAGAGCTTATAGTCACATTTCACTCCGGGGGTCAGAAGGAGTTCATATGTAGAGGACTGAGGTAATGCTTCATGCAAGAGTAGGAAGTAACTATTATTTGACTCTAAGCAGATATGGGCAAGTTTGTCCTAAAAATAAATAAATAAATAAAAATAAAAAAATAAAAACACTTTTATACATGCTTTAATTATTAATCTTACTAAATTGATACATTTTGCATTGCTTTTACTTACTGGAGGAATACACACTTATTTAAAAAAAAAAAACAATTCCTGCATTTTTTTTCTAATTCCATGGCAAATAAAAATGGATCAAACTGTTTTTGTCTCTTCACTGTCCGCGTCTCTTCTGCAGCCCTCCTGTGATCCCGCCTTATCTCAGTCTCTCTTACATTAGCCTCTCTCATTTGCATAATCTCAAACACTTCAGAGCTCCAAAGAGGAACAAAGTTACAAACAAGATTAGTGCGAATTTATTTGTTCCTGCGGGTTGAGCGCCGATTGTTTCTCCAAGAGTGTTTAAGGTCACTAAGAGGATTTTTGAGCTCGTTTGATATCTGTGATCTTTTTGGGAGGGAATTAAAATCAACAATGCATCTCTCTTCATACCTAGCAACAGGCTTTTTTCTTTCTTTCTTTCTTTTTTTTTGGGGGGGGGGGGGGGGGGGGGGGGGGTCCTGCAGAACAGTAAACTCAACAGTGTGGAAGTTTAGCGCGGTGGCGCACTGGTCTTGGCGCACCTGTGCATGTGACATGCAGGGGGATCTTTAGCCCCGGTGACTGTCCCAGCAGTGTTTTCATTGAAATGGATCCCCCCCCTCCCGACCTCCTCCTTTTTAATGAATCCAAACGCAGCTGGCCATGTCCCCACACGGACACCGAGCGCTTTAACCCTAAACTGACCTCAATTTGACACCACCAGATGAAAATTTGCCGCATGGCAATGCCATCTTTTCATTTGTTTTTAAGAGTTAGTAAATAAATACATTTTATTATAATCTGCAATAAATTTCCAGAGCACACCGAGCTAGCAAATTGCGCAGGAGAGCTTAATTGATTTTAATTACCTTTCTCAGCTTGTGCTGATTCTCATACCATTAAAAGATTAAGCAGTTATCTGTGCTCCAATTTTTACGCAAAACAAAACAGGATTAAGAAATCCTATAGTCTTATAACATTTTATTGTATTTTTTTAAATACATTTAAATATAATCAAATAATTAAATAACTATAGGTATGCAATTTAATAGCTTTAATTTGGAGCTGTTAATTAAAACAAGCGCTATGCTGGTTCTCCTTCTGGGTAAATCACATTTATCTATTATATTCGCACATTAAATTTAAAAGCATGCAAAATAAAATTTCTCCTTTAGACTTTAAGTCAAAATGGAATTGATTCTGAGTTGTATTTAAAACAATAAAGCCGATGGAATGAGTTAAAAGAACAAAAAGAAAAACTTTTCAACTTTAGCCGAGAATGAAAAGAATGCGTGGTAAAATAAAAAAGTGTTTGAGTATGAGGCGTTTGCTACTTACCGCGGCTGATCCAAAAAGATAGTGGTTGAAAAAAAATAATAAAACAGAATAAGAAATGCAAGCGTTAGAGCAGGAATCACTGAGATCGGTAGCGTTCAAGTAATGAGAGACAGAGTCTCAGTGGCAGTGCATGTTGGACCGGCTGTGTTTACAGAGTGCGCACAGAGACCTGGAGACGGTGAGCGCCTTGGCTCTCCATGCGAGCAGCTCTGCAGCTCCTTCTCGGGGTATCGCGCGTCCAAATGTCCTCACATACAGCCGTTTGTCAAAGCCTGCAGTCCTGCACACCCCACCCAGCCCCCTCCTCGCTGTATGCCAACAAACATAACTGTTGTCACGGTTTCATTTATTAAATCATTTTCCTTTGTTTCTCAACTCAGCTGTCTGTGTACTCAAGCCCTGCAACTGGCTGCGTATTTTTGTTTGGTGGGAGAGTTGTTGACCCTCCAATAGTAGCCACAGCCCATCTCCCTGAGCGTTTAATCCTAACCTGTGAATAATTAATTTCCACCATCAAAAAAAATGTCACCGAGCTCCAAATGGAGCCTTTATGTGTTGAACCTAATAATACGGCCATGAAGGCATATTAGAGCTGATGGGGCTAAAGGGGTAGATGGCCTGGTTCTGTTTTGTGGCAAAAAGTAAAAAAATAAATAAAAAGGAGGGAGGGGGTCTGCATTGGAATCGATGGCCGGTGCTTTGCTCCTCCTCTAAACTTCAATCTCCTCACATGATAGATGATCTTGGGGGAGCTTTGATAATTGACTGCTCTGAGGTAAGCTCCTATGAAAAGAAGGGATAGAAGGAAGAAACATGCAAAATTAGTTTCCTCCACAAAAGGTTTTCATTTTTTTATATATATATCCTGGAAAAGTTCATATTTTGGCTGGTAGGGGTGTTTAATGTAAAAAAGGAAAAAATGGAGAAAAAAGAAAAAAAGCAGAGCAACATGGGTGAACAGAAAGTTTTAAAGGAGTGTGACTAAACTAGGGACTCAGATAGGTTGATAACCTCAAAGCGGCACCACAAAACCGGAAGTGCCCTATAAAGGAAAGACTTGCAGATAAATATGTTCATCTTCAGGATGGATGTTGTTGCTGCGGAGAGAAGTTTCAGCTCAAGTTAAACATAACCAATTGTTTAATAATTTCTTTTTGGAAATGATTCTTATAGTTATAGTATAATTTGAAGTCTAGTTTTGGTTTTGTTCATGTGTCTTTAGTGGTTGGAAGATCTGGTAAACCTGCTGGTTTTGTTTAAAATGTTCTGGCATTACTTTCTGCAAGTTCTCTTTTCTGTGTGTGGTTGGTAGGGTTTTTTTTATTATTAAAAAATATAATTTAAAAAAAGATTCATTATTGATGCCATCTCATCAAACTTTGTCCTGTCTTTTCTTCAAGTCATTGGTTAAAAAAAAATAATCTCAGCCTCTCATTATGTCCCAGATGCACAATTATTAGCAGCCAGATAAAAAAGTAGAATATAATATTAAACTAAGAACACTTACATTTAACTATAGAAATATCGTTTTAAGTAAAGTAAATTCAACATCAATTAAGGAGATGGTGTTGGTGAGGGTGGTAGGGACAGACCAAAATGACAGAGAGACATGTGGGGGTTATATGAGTTCATTTATATTAAACTAGAGTATTTATATGTGGTTTGTAAACAAGAAATTGAGAAAATAGCTTTAGTGAAACATAAGAACATACAAACATAAGATATTAATATTCATACTAAAAGAAGATCAGATTTATAAGGATGGCCATTGCCCCAATTACGCCCTCCCCCCAACTCCACTGTAAAGCAATAATTAGCCATCAGATTATGAAGAATTACCAAGATATGAGGAAGGAATATCAGCTTGTAACCACAAACATAGCACGTGATCCTAAAAGCAGAATCAATACAATGCGTTGTTAAAGCAGATTATTGACAAAGGTTTGCTTTAATCCACGTGCGTAAATATTTGGATACTTTGTGCGTAATTTCACTTTTCCATAGTGATTTTTGTATTTCTTTATTCTAAATGAATATTCATGCAGTTAAGTTGCAGTCACTGTTGTGCTTTTCGTTGAACATATATCCGCCCTCATGTTCAGCCCTCTCCTGCTTTCTCTTCAGGTCTCTCCTCGGTGATTCAGAGGGATTGGGGTGGGAGTTTCGTGCTTTTTCTACCCCCAGTGTGGAGTTGAAGCCGTCCCCGCGTCTGGCATAGACACTCTGCATATCACAGGATTTGGTCTCTCCTCTCCTCTCTCTTGTGCGGAGCTGCTGCAGGACTGGCTATGGCCACCGCTACTTCCGGGATCCGTCATTTCATTCGCCCACCGCTCAGCGCTGAGAACTGACTCTGTTTCTATAAGCAAGCCAGCAGCCAACCTGCCAACACTCGCTGACACTCACTCATCTCAGTCTCGCCAAGATAGACCAAATACCTACGGGGGAAAGAAAAGAAGAGATCCGAATCGCACTCTCTTAATTTCTACACCGTTTTTTTCCCTTCTTCTTCTTCTTTTTTTGCGGGTGATAATAAAACAAGATAGCGATCTGGAGGCATTAAAGGAGACGCAGACTTGCGGGATGAAAACGGACTAAAAAAGATTCGTCCTTCTCTTGAACATCATCACCAACCGTCATTCATTCATTACCTTGACAACCTCTGGCTTTGATTGACAGCTGGAGTGGCAAAAAGCCATGAGACACGACAGTTTAGTTACATGCAGGTTGTTGATGGGCCGATTGTAACCTTCACTTTGGCGCATTTTTTCTTTTCTTTTTCTTTTTTTTTTTATTGGAGGAAAGAAGGAAAACAAGAAAAAATTGCTGCAAAAAAAAAAAAACTTCCCGATGCCACGGTTTGAACTGAACCACACCGGCGAATAGGAGAATTCGCAAAAACAACAAAAAAAAAAGGGGGAAAAGTTGGTTGAAAGAAGGGGAATCGTGCCACTAAATCACTTTCCGATCTGGGATATTAAACATATACGGACAGATTCGGGAGTTTATTGGAGCGCAGCCTGATGGCGCAAAGGGTAGGTTTTAAATCTCACTCCGCTCTACCTGCTCACATCGCAGCCCCCTTTTCTAAGTCAGGGGTGCTGGCAATTTTACAAAGTTTTCTTATCAAAGCGGCTCTATTTGACATTTTCTGCTGCGCTCTCACTCTCCAAGCAAAGTGACAGCCTCCACTTTTTCCCCGACAAGGCTCCACAAAGCAGTTTGACGGGAGACTCCGAACTGTTTCGCTCTTTTTGCGCAGAGGGAACAACCTAACTTTATAATGTTTCTGGTAATGATAAAAAATCAAGCTGCAGCTCATTAATATTTGACACTTTTACTCTGGCTGCAGCTTCTTTCTGATTCTTCGTTGCGATTGTTTAAAATCAGATGCAACATGCTTTGTTATGGAAAAATACTTCTTATGTTAGTTTGCATAAGAAGCTCGCTTTTAATTTTTTACTCTAATTTTATTCTCAGTACGATGAGCTGGCCCATTATGGTGGGATGGACGGAGTTCCGGCGTCCATGTACGGGGACCCGCATGCGCCCCGGCCGCTTCCCCAGGTCCACCACCTGAACCACGGACCGCCGCTCCACGCCAGCCAGCACTACGGAGCCCACGCTCCACATCCAAACGTTATGCCCACCAGCATGGGCTCTGCTGTCAACGACGTTTTAAAGAGGGACAAAGATCAAATTTACGGGTAAGGTTTGCATGAGTTAGACATGCATCCATATAGACTTTTTTCTTTTTTTTTTTTGTTTGGATCTCTTGGTGAACTTACTTTTCTCTCTCGCCGCTTGTTTTTTAGTAGACTTTTCTACAGGTTTACTTTACAGCCACATTGTGGTTTAGGGGGGTTTGTTGCTGTGTAATTTTACACTCATTGTAAAAGCCTGCAGCAAGCAAGAGTATCAGCCTTGAGCTTGTAAATTAATATGGAAGCTTTCGAAAGTGGCACAGGGAAAACACACACAAAAAACATTTTAACCGAGTTGCATTGTTGCTTCAATATTACTGTCACAATCCATATATCAAGGAGAAAATGATCACCTGCTTTAAAAGGTTGTAGTTTCGTTTACAGCTTTATTTATTTATTTTTTTTAACGTTTACAGATCATACACACACACACCTACACACTTACTGCGTTAAAAAGCACAGCGTGTCCTCCTGAGGCTTCTTTTTTTCTTGAACAATGTAAGAAGGGGAAAAAAAAATCCTGATTTGTCCCCTTCTCACTGATATATTCAATGACAGTTTTATAATCCACAAACATAATCTGTTTTATGATCGTTTTTCATAAGTGTAGGAATAGAGCTTAAACTCTTTTGCTGCTAAATAAAAAAAGCCCTTTGTTTTTTTTTTATATAAAAAGAATGCAGGTAAACAGCGACATAACATAATCTGTTTAAAAATATTCCTAATTTCGTTGTTATTTTTATCCATATTATTATTGTTGCGGATTATAGCTGTAGGCCTTCTCAGAGGGAAAACACAAGATTAGGTTATTGAAGCGAAATACAGAATCCTATATTTCAGATAGATATTTCCATATAATCCAAAGATCTCTATCGGTTGTGTGAGTTTGGAGTTTTTAAACTTTGCACGGAAAGAAATATCACTGTTTACTAGTCGATTATTTCATTATACTCAAATTAAGGAAATATTCCAATTTCCCTAAGGATTTAACATTTTTACATGTATAAACTTACCTTATAACAGCCGCACTGTGTTAGTTTACTAGCCATGAATATGCTGCCTTTGTAAACGAGGACGGGTCAACGGTAGTAGAAATAATAATAGAAAAATCTCCAAGCATAATCTTGGGTTTTTGCGTATGTCTGTTTTAAACAAAAATCAAATGCATGTATTTAAGAAGCATACAGGTTGGCTTTTTTTTTTTTTTGTTTGTTTTTTTTTTGTTTGTTTTTTTGTTTTTTTTGTTTTTTGCAGCGGGGTTCCGTGCAGCCGCTGCTCGTTTTTACTCAGGCTGCTTGTGTTTTTCTCCCCCTCCTCTTTGCAGTCACCCTTTATTCCCACTGCTCGCGCTGGTTTTCGAGAAGTGCGAGTTGGCGACATGTACTCCGAGGGAGCCCGGCGTAGCGGGCGGCGATGTCTGCTCCTCTGACTCCTTCAACGAGGACATCGCAGTCTTTGCCAAACAGGTCAATTTTTCAACTTCAAAAACACACTAAAATTAAATTAAAACAAATAAAAAAATAAAAAATATTAAATACAGCAGTTTTTTGCGGCACTCATGATTATTACAGTCAAAAGTTTATTAATTTTTACATTTTAAGCATGCGTATTTTTCAGTTGCCACAAAAGTTTAATTGCTAAAAATGAATTCAAGTTAGAATCAGGAGTAACAAAATGTATTTAAATCTCTGCTTTATTTTAGGTCCGAGCAGAAAAGCCTTTATTTTCATCAAATCCAGAGTTGGATAATTTGGTAAGTGCGCTTCTCTGTTTGGAAAATGTGTCCATGATTAGAAATTGCGCGCAGATCTGAGATCCGCATTCTATTCTTAAAATCTGACCAGTCAGTGATTTTGATATGCAGCTCTGTTTTCCTGTTTCCCAGCAAAGAACATGTCATGATTTCCACAACGTCCTTGTTTGATAAAGAATTATTATT